ACATAAAGGGGCCCTAAGTTACAACTTACGCACTACTAAATACTTTTGCATTGCACCAATGCACTTAGATGAAACAGAACTCTATGTACAAACTAAATATTTACAGAAACCTCGACCACGAGTAACAGAATAAAGCAGCAGACTGACTGAATTGCATCCATAAGCTAGTTTACCAGACAGATTACTTGCTACACTTGCTTACATTTTAAAAAAAGAGAACATTATGTGAATGAATTACTTTGTTAGCAGCTCTTCAACACAAACATGTTCCATGTTGTGCATGTCAAATAAAATCAGTCATAATAACAAATAAATGTAATTTCTTATGTTTTTGTATTTATTTATTAATTAATCCTTATCCATTGAAATACAGTTTCTGGGTTTTCTTTACATATAAAAATACAGATTATGTTATTCATGATTAGGTAGTATTATATTTGAATGGCAAATCAGTTTTATTGTTAGTTATTTGAGGCAAAGTAAGTTAGAATCAAGGATACACTGAAATTCACTACATTTCAACAACTTCTGCTCATGTATTTGAACACTGCAATTGGATCATTGATGGTGCGTAATATTATGTGGCTAATTTATGCTACGCCCTTGACACAAGAACTAGTGGCGATAAAAGCTGACAGTGTTGTCGCCTTGCGTTGACTGCGTCTGGGCCAAAAAGCTGCGATTGAACACACACCGCAAAGACCGCAGCCGACTGCCAGCTAGTATGTGCGTTAGGAAATTATGGTCTAAATCATCAAGTATCAGTTTATTTTTGTCATTCAAAAAGAGAAACCGAAACTATGATTGCAGATGTACATAACGTAAACAAAGAAGTGCTTGCTTACATTTTAAATATCAATTATGTTGATCATTTTCTCACGCTCTATTCTTGTATTCTCCGACTAAAGCCGATGTGGAACACACCACAAAAAGTAGCCCGAAAGATGCTTGCCGACTGAATGCAACAAATGGTGTAAAATAATAAAGTAGAGTTAGTTACAAACTAGCTAGTAGTTACTAAGCCTCTAGTGTGGACTTTAGATTCCAGTTTAAGTAGGAACTTATATCCAGATCTTTATACTATGCCATCAAGGTTAAAGTGATAGTTCAACCAAAAATGAAAATTCTGTCATCATTTACTCACCTTCATGTCATTTCAAACCTATAAGACTTTCCTTTACCTTCAGAACACAAATGAAGATATTTTTAATGCTAGCTTTCTGTCCCTCCATTGACAGCTACACAACTACCATCTTGACGCTTCAAAAAGTTAATAAAGAGATTGTAAAACTAATTCATATGACTCATCATGTGGTTTAGTCCAAATTTTCTGAAGAGAATAGATCGCTTCATGTGATCAAAAGATTGAATTTAGGCTTTTATTAACATAAAAACAGTAAATAAGTAAATAATGAGTTTATTTATTGAGTAAATGATGACAGAATTTTCATTTTTGGGTGAACTGACCCTTTAAGACAAGGGACAGGATACTCACTTTATGGTCTGTAGGAAGCGCACTCTGTCGTTGATCTCGTCTGGGATTTTACTCAGGATATGTTTGAGGGCTCGTGCTTTCTCATTCAGGTCCTGAAATTCCTGCTCTGGTCTTTCAATCATATACTCTGTGAAATAGGAGTCAGAAACAAACCTTCTTAGGTTCAGATACAGCAACAAGTGCAGTTTGATATTTACTGGGAAAAACAAAGAGACTTTGATGGCCAATCATAACTTGTATTATTTTGAGTGTTACTGCAGGAAAGATCCAGATATAGGGATTGTACTAGAGGCAAATGACTTTCTTACCCTCCACATCATCTGCAGCCATGCGCAGTAGTGACTCTGTGAAGTTGAGCTCCACGTTCTTCTTCTCCAGTATCTTCATGATGATATCCTGAGTGAGCCCTGGGTTCTCTTTCTCTGCCTTTAGAGGGTGGCATTGATTAAAGAGCATTAAACTCAACATTAGTTAATCTCACATTATGTTAAGCAAGAAATGAATCTTTTTTAAAAACAAAACAAATACATCATCACAATGCTCAGATGAAATGGATAACATGTCAGAAAAATAAATACTGGACTATCAGCATCTGCCAGCTGATAAATGGACACTTTCGTGAACACCTACTTTGATAAATGCTGCCCTCAATGTCTGTGCCGCTGACAGGTTTATCCTCTCCAACTGTCATAATATAAAAGTCAATATCTGATCAGCATTTCATATTCATATACATCATTTATGATAATACATCAACTGCTGAAAGTTACACTACTGTTCAAAAGTTTGGGGTCAGTAAGATTTTTCTAAAAAATAATTTATACTTTTATTCACCAAGGACACATTCAACCGATCAAAAGTGACAGTAAAGTCAATTCAAATATAATGTTAATTTAATATAAGTGCTGTTTTTTTTATATTCCTATTCATGAAAGAACCATGAGGGGTGGGGGCCCGGGGGTTATTTTTTAGATTATTCAATAATTAATAATATAAAATGGTTTCTTGAGCACCAAATCAGCAATGATTCCTGGAGGAACATGTGACACTGAAGACTGAAACTTTGCCACAACAGGAATAAATTAGATTTACAAAAACATTTAAAAATTTAGAAAACTACAATAATATTTCACAATATGGTATTTTCACTGTATTTTTTTTTTAAATCAAATAATTGCAGCCTTTAAAAAAAATTATTCTTACTGACCCAGTTGGGGCATATTAAACTGCATATTGGCTGCATTGGCTAATTCTGCATAACTGCATATTGGCTAATTCTGAAGTATGTAAATGCAAATACCTCATTGAAGACTGGATACATGACTGCATATAATGTCATAGAGACTATTGAATTTGTCTCGGCTTCATTCTTCATCTCTTCCATTGTCATCCTCAATGGAGGCCCACCACAGGTAAAAATGGGCAGTTGAACTTACTCACAGTTCTCTCAAGCTCACTGCAATGTTTAGAAGGAATATACTGGATTAATGGATATGTTCCAAGAATGTATTCCCAAATAATAACAATCAATAGTAATTCACATATAATAGCATAGTAAAAATGTTTGATAATTTAGCAATGTAATAACACCCCCAAACTGAAAAAAGAGTGATTGTTTCCTTTTGCAAGAAATGTTCTACATTTAAAGGAACATTATTTAATTAAAATAGTTTGTCTAATTAAAGATTGTCCTTACTGAACAATAAAAACATTTATTACACTAGCTAGCTCTTAGGGCTGTGCAAAAATTAATTCCGATTAATCGCATCCAAAATAAAAGTCTGTGTTTACATAATATATTTGTGTGTGCTGTATATAATTATTTTGTATATATAAATACATACACATGCATGTATATATTTAAGAAAATGTGTTATTCATGTATACAATATTTATATTTATATAATATAGATTATGTATTTATATATATATATATACAGAATTTAAGCACAAATAACTCTTAAATATATACATGCATGGATAGGTATTTATATATAAGAAATAATTATATACAGCACACACAAATATATTATGTAAACACAGACTTTTATTTTGGATGCGATTAATCGCAATTAACTTTTGCACAGCCCTACTAGCTCTTGGACTTTTGCTTTAAACACATTATGTATGACAGTTAAAAGTATACATAATAAATTCAGTAATACCTATATTGATACTTGGAGGTCAATGTGAATATTGTTATGACATTAATATTGCACATACACCAATATAGGGGGTGGGGGTATGGGTATGGTCCTCATCCAGTAATTATAATTAGTAAACTTCTCACGTGACAGCAGAGCCTCACCTACAGCACAAAATATCGGACATAATCTAACGTTACTCACCTTATTATCAGTCAAGATCAAAGCCTAGAAAGTCGATGCTATTGAAACTATGGTTATTTCCATTAAAGGACGGGTTAGCAGGTTATGTAGCAAATGTTTTCTAGGCTCTTTATTATTGAACTGTCGCTCGGTTCATATCGATTCAGCTTGGTTGTTTTTAAACCGTCAAAGCCAAATCTAACAGACCTTATTATTCTTGATTTTAGAATTAGCAGCCTAGCTTCCATAGCAAGAGAGTAGCCGGCTGGCTATCAAAGTTAGCAGACAGAACTGCTTATCTCGACGTATGTAACGTTAGACTTATAATATGACCACAACAGTGTCAACTGAAATAAGTTACCTGCTCTCTTCTTCACCAGCACGTCCCACAGTGGATGAGATAAGTACTAAAGTCTTCCTAGACGCTTAGCTAGAAAAATGTATCTGTGTTTGTTTTTTCAACTTCGGAAGTCGGAAGTTTTCTGCGTGAGCTGTGAGAAAGGTGACGACTTCCGTCTCCTCCTGACGAAACCAGACTGCACGATCTATGGGCGATTAAGCTGCTGCTGTTCTCATATTTTATTTTCAATGTAATGTAAAATAATGTTTTTTTTTTAAATATTTTTATTTTAAAACAATAAACATACAGGAATTGATCTGCATAAAAATACAGATATATAATAAATATATGGGCAGAAGAGGAGTGAAAAAAGGTAAAGAAAAAAATGGACCATGACCAAAATAACCACATAATAACACACACACACACACACACACACACACACACACACACACACACACACACACACACACACACACACACACACACACATAAATGCGATTTATCTAAATGTAAGTAATTTTGTCTTCACATATTCAAATTTATTAAGGCTCCTACTGAAAATCATACACCATTCCATATAATTTTAAATGATAATAATAGAATACTATGACAAAGCTCATGTATATCTTTAATATTTAATTATTATGCTTGACAGAGAAAGTCCAGATGTGCAAGATCTCAGATGAAAGTAATATGCAAGACAAAAAAGTACAAATAGTAAAAAGAAACCTTTAAAAAGCATAAAAACATTTAGTTTGTATTTATTTTCCCCCCACTACTTCTTTGATGTAACTTCAATCTCTTACTACATTATTATTAAGAAAAAGATAACTGAAACGTTGTGAAAACATTTATTTAAAAAATCTCAAGTACAAAACTGAGGGAATTATTAAAAATAAATAATAATTACCTAGAAGAAATCCTTTAAATATTGACGTAAGGAATGTTTACTTTGTATTCACAAGGTGCCAGTTCATATATCGCCTTAGAAAGGCCAAGAAGATACAATGCTTTGATTATTTATAAATGCTGAACAAATCCTTACTTGAAAGTATGAGACACTTGCACAAGTAGTCACTTTTAAAAAAAAAGTGATCACAGTTGTAGCACTTCAGTTTTGTGCCAATAGAGAGCCATTCAGTAGACACTATAAGCAGTCATGTTCATATCTCACGCTTTTGATTGCTTTCCTTAAGGTCTTCTTCATCTTCTTTTCATCACTGTTTCTTGGAAGCTCTCTTGCTTTCAGTTTCTGCTTCTGGGTTTTCATTTAGTTATTAAGGCCCTGAAACAATTAATCATTTTATGACATTTAAAATCATCTGTTCTTGAAATGCACTACTTAGCCTATCTAACATTTATAGTGCATGTGCATTCTATAGATATATTGTTATGCATTGCAAGTACAAAGTTAAAATTCTTTCACTCACTAACTGATTGATAGGAAAAGACTTCTTAAGCATTTGGCTGACCCGTGCTCCATTACGCTCACTGTAGGGATCTTCTCTCTCTTCATCCTCTGCTCTCTTCTGTCTGTCATGCACCGAGTCATCAAGAGTCTAATGGATGTTGCAGTGGGGATGATGGGAAAAAGTCATTTTTCATGTACCATTTTGTATCAGTTCCTCAGCACACCAGTCCATCAATGCCTGTATTCCCTCACCTCATCCTCTACATCGTCCTCATACTGCTCATCCGGCTGGTCCTTTTGCGGCTCTGGATTGCCTGCCACCTATTGATATAGTGCATCAGTAATCTGCTTATCATTCCATACCAGTCCAGTGGGTTTACTTCTTCTGCTGCCAAGTGGCAACTACTAACAACTTTGTCAACAGGTTTATAAAATTATATTAAAAATAAAGCATTAAATCTAAAATCCATATGTACAGTATGAAAATGGATGGTAATTTTAAGATTTGCTAAAAGTTATTTATAAGTGTGTGTTAGATGACGGCAGGAGTTAATCTTAATGTAAAATAGAAATTATACAAACTTCCATTGTAAAGTTTGGGGTCGGTAAGGTTTTTTTTTAATCTTTTTGAAATAAGTCCCTCATGTTCACCAAGGCTGTCTTTAAAAAATATATTATATATTATAATTTCAAGTAACTCTTTTCCATTTTTTTAAGTAATTTATTCCCGTGATGGCAAAACTAAATCTTCATCATTACTCCAGTCTTCAGTGTCGCATGCAAAGCATTTCTTATTATTATCATCAATGTTGAAAACAGTTGTGCTCTCTAATATTTTTGTCGAAAGCCTTATAGATTTTTTTCAGGATTCTATGATAAATAGAAAGTTCAAAATAACAAATACATTTTTTTCTATTAAATTTGTAAAAAAAAAAAAAAAATTGTAACAATATAAATGTCTTTCCTGTCAATTTTGATCCTTGCTGAATAAAAGTATTTCTTTAATTCCTCAAAAAAGTCCCTAAAAGACTTTATTCCATGATTAATTAAAGATGAGCTAGTCTATACCCTTCTTGTAAACTCACCACAAGCTGCTCATCCACTTCAGGCCTGATTTTGTTCGCATTGGTCTTGTACTCATTTTCTTCTTCAGCCTCTTCAAATTCATCTTCGTTCTGGTTATTGGCCTCATTCTCAATGTTCATGTTTTTTTTCCCAAGGTCCTGTTCAAAAGAGCCATTTTAAGAGAGAATAAGTCATTAATAGAAATCTTAAACTTCAAATAATGTAATTTCCTCTGATAACTTTAAATAAATTGTGATTTGCACTTCAAAGTCAAATATTTGAGCTTTTCAAGAAATAAAACAGAGAAAGTACAGCCATAGTTTTCCCACCACACTGCCTTGATGTTTTTGAATAATTCATTTACGACTCTGCATGCAATTTGTCTTCATTCACGCAGTGTGTATATGGTCCAAATCTTTTTTTTCTGCATGTGACACAGATCTAATTTCTGAAAAGCATCAACACATTGGTCTTTTTAAATCTAATCTGGGCCACTTTAACGTCCGATTATGCAATTCTTACAGCAAAGACACCAACAGCAGATCCAAAAAAAGACAGACATTACTGTATACATAATAACACACGCTGCATTATCATACACACCTTGATATGCTTTTGAGTGTCCTCTACATATTTTGCATCTTCTCGTCCAGCCATAACATGATGTGACTGCACAGCATTTCCTGTATTTCACGAGAAAACAAAACTAGCAACGTACTGTGTGTGTGTGTGTATATATAACTGTATTCTTTAATGGGTTATTTAAGTTGTTTTTTGTTTTCCAATCTCAGCTATACAAGTGCAACATGTTTGCACTTTAGATTTGTGTGCTAGAACCCATAGCTTCATAAAATACAGTAGTATCAGAAAAGGCCAATACCGGCCACAAAAAAATACCCTTCCTTACCAGCAATAACTGTATCCAAAGCCTCAAAGTGTACTTTGGTTCTGTGAAGTGGCTCTGTCTGTGTCTGTTTCTCTGGGCTTTGGCTTAGCGTGTTACGAGGGTTAATGCCCAGCTCTTCTGGGTTTGATAAGGAATGTTCCAGCACTGCCTTTCCCCCCTTATCCTCTCCTCCTCTATCCTTTGATGTGCTTCTCTCCTCTTTCTTGCCGTTTCCCTCAGCAAAAATATCAATTTTCCGAGGCTGCTTCATTGCCACTTTGGTCGCATTGTTATTTTCAATCTCCAACACACCTTGAGGGGATAACCCTTTTCCATTTTCCTCATATCCTTCCACCTGTAAAGGAGAAACATCCGTATGACCAAAGTGTGGTGTGGCCTGATGATAAGACACTTGCATTAGCCACAGTCACACATTTACATTATTAAGTTACATGAGTCATCTCATCCTGAAGTTGACAAACTATAGCCCAAATGGCTTTTGAATATATACTTCAGCTGCAGAAAGAAGTGAGAATAATTTCAAAAAAAGGATTAAGACTTAATCCATTTGAGACCTGAGAGTGTGAACAGCACACATTCATGTCAACAGTAGACTACTCCATAGCCTTTCTTAAAAATATAAGGAAAGAAAAGCCAAATGATGAAAGAGGGAGTCTTTCAACGTTGTATGTTGCATTCCCATCTCTACCTGAATGGGCATATTTTCCAGCTCCTCATTTAGGCGTTCTACTGTCTCTAGTATATAGCTGTGGGTGCGTTCACTAGCAAATTTATCAATTTTTGCTGCTTGGCCTGCACTAGAGGTTTTATTGCGATTCTCTTTTAATCGCGTCAGCTCTTCTATCTGAAGCTTCATTCAAATATTGGATTAGGATGGAATTAAACATTTCTGATGTGATACTTTGTGATGCATGGACTGGGTAATGAAAGTTAAATAGTATGAGACCTGACGCTATGAGATAAAGATGCTAACTCAGCAGTACAGAGATAATTCAAAACGTAAATTAAATAAACTACCCAGGAGAAAATGTACTGAATTTATAATGCAAGATAACCGCATGTTATATATATTCTATATTCTAACCTTCATAAATATTTTTAATAAAATATATTATTTGAGAATTATCAAATAAGGTTTCAAATAAGGTTTTATTTCATTTGAGAATTAATTTTTATATTACATGCTACTGAAGAGATAAAACCTGCAATGTAAGGTGAGGAAGAGTAATTCAAGTAGTTTAAATGTTAATGTTAGAATGTGGCACATTATATCCAGTCAGACATAGTAATGACAGTATTGAAATGTTAATGGCATGCAAACATGCATCACTCACACAGGGTCAACTGTCAGGGAGGAAACACATCTGTAGTATTTACAGCTAGAACCTGTGGCCTGAGGCATAGAAAAAGATAATATATGAGTCTTCAGACATGCACAAAGACTTTGCTAGACAGGAGTTTCAAATCTGTCTGCACATTTCATCTGCTGTCTTTGTAGGGAGAGATGGCATTCAATGAGATGAGAACATTAGTAGGTTCAAAGGTTTAGGCTCAGTAATATATATATATATATGAAGACCTTTTCATTGTTACAAAAACGTCAAATAAATGTTGTTCTATTGAACTTTCTATCCATCAAAGAATCCATCAAAGAAGAAAAAAACAGTATCACTGTTTCCACTAAAATGTTAGGCTGTTCCAAAATATATAATAGGAAATGGTTCTTGAGCAGCGTATTAGAATGATTTCTGAAGAAGCACGTGACACTTAAGACTCTAGTAATGCCTCCTAAAAATTCAGCTGCAATCACATGAATACATTACATTTTAAAATATATCAAAATAGAAAACTGTTATTTTAAATTGTTATTATATTTCACAATATTACTGCTTTTCTGTACTTTTTTAATCAAATAAATGTAGCCTTAGTGTGGATAAAAAACTTCTTTCAAAAAATCTTACCGACCTTTATAAACAAAAAATCTTTACCAAACCGCATTTGAACCGCAGTGTATTGGTTTAAACAGTAACTGTAGCTTGATAACAGTCGGCAAATACAAGTTCTGTCATGAAACTCTAGATGGCGTCGGCTGATATGTCCTTAACTATTAACTTAACCATTCTCTTTATGGCACAGCTGATTGGTTCTTGCTGTATCAGTAGCCAATGAGCTTGCTGCTCAACCTTCAAATAATTGGTCAGCATTTGGTGTAGCAATTGCAATGCGCTTTCAAAAATCCTTCACCTTCCCCAGCTCAACCTGTATAGATCTGCCACGGGTAATGCAAGTATGCTATATTGAACAGCAGCAGCATCTCTTACTTGCTAACAGCAGTGTGTAGTTTATGTATTAGCAAGCCCATATTTGGCTGCAGCAACAGCAAGAACCAACAGCAACGACAGCATAGCAGATCAAGACCAAACATAACAACATTGTCATATCTATTACCACGCCAAAGTTGTAATGACAGAATTTTTATTGCTTTCTTACGTTAATAGCAATCAGTAAACGTGTTAAAGCTGCGGTCCGGCGTTTTTCCTTTTTGTCGCCATCTCTGTTCGAAATCTGCAATTGCAGTCATTTGTGGAATTATGAACTTTATGTGAGTTGTATTTCAACTTATTAAGATGATAAGTTTAATTATATCAAGTGTTCAGCCTACTAGCCGAGGCTCCTTCTTTATGTGTACAGATGTGACATAATGATGTGGCAAAGACATGGAAATCCACCAGTACCACTGGAATTAAAAACATTATTACAACCTTAGCCCTTTGAATCGAGCTATGGCAAGCAGATAGTTTTTAACACTGGCTGGTTATGTATTTTCTCCAATATGTATTTTGGATCATTTTTAACCCAAAAAAAATCTACGGACTGCAGCTTTAAGAATTAGTATTAGGAAAGCCATTATTTTAGAATGCAAAATCAAATTACAATTATTCTTTTATTCGTCGATTTGTTCTTGTATTTGTTTAAAACATTGCAGCATGCAGTAGCAGAATGATGTACTTCAAGCAATATATCTAGAATAGGTTCTGGCAAACTTATAGTAGTAGTCATGACTCTTTGTTACCTGAGCTGCAACAAGTGCATTTTTATGGTCTTCTAATGCGAGTGTGAGATGATCTTTTGAAGCTTGCAGGTTCTTGCGCAGTTCCTGAAATGGTGAATGGTGTAATTTCAATGTCCATCTTGAATATTAGGAGTAGTACACACAGAAATAGAGATGTTCAATCACTCCTGATGACAATTTGTATGGCAAACCATAAGCTAATTTGCCATGGGTTCCCTCTGGAATTAAAGGGGTCCTATTATGCCCTTTTAAGAAGTCTTGATTTTGTTTTTGAGGTGTAATAGAATATGATTTCATGCTTGATTGTTCAAAAAATGCATTCTTTTTAACATATTTTACATTATTACAGCACCTCTCTCCCCAGTCTGGCTCGAACATGCATATTTCGATAAAGCCCCTCCTCCCAAAATAGGAAATGTGCTGTGATTGGTTAGCTGGCCTAGTGTGTTGTGATTGGCACCATTTAGCGCTGTGAGTTCTTTTCTAGTGTAAATATGAACAAGGATAGCATCAATTTCAAACCAATTCCAGCCCAATTCAGACCCTGACAATGTTATTGAACAAGAGGATTTTACAATACGTTTCAGAGTGGTATGTTTTTTGTAATTTTCTTATACATAATATAGATACGTTGTTGTTATCCACCATTTAATTGCGATATTTGTCTGAAAACTAAGATAATACAAACAGTAATCGATCACAAAACCAAGGTTCATTTTCTTCCAGGGAAGTGAACCGTCTAACAAAAGCGAGAGCTTACAAACTCAACAGAAAACCAGCTGTTTCATGGACGCTAATTATTTAAATTAGTAACATTGTGACTTTGTCAGATCCGGAAAAAGCGTGTTGTTGTCCAAACAAGCCGATCGTCGTACTTCTTGAAAAGGAGATTCTGTTAAATAAAGTATCTCCCTTTGGAGTGGACTTTGAGCCTTGTACCCTTCCCACATTACACACCATCTATAGTTGAAAAAGTGGAATAACATAGTAGGACCCTTTAAGGTTTAGAACTACAAACTGAATATAGGAATATTATTTATGCAATTTCAAGCTCCCTTTAAACAATAATCACATAATGTATCCCAGAATCCTTTGTAGTTTCTCTGACCTGCATATCAAGTAACTGTGTGTAGATGTCCTGATGAGCTTTCCGCAGCTGTCTGTTCTCCTCGCGAAGGTTGTACACATTCTCTAAAAGTAGAAAAACAGGTGATGAAAGACTCTAGAAAATATGTATGGCCGGGTGGGTCAGGTGCATTTTATATGGATGGAAATGGATTTGGTCTGAGCCTTAAATCTGATGATTCTGAATACATCAACATGAATAAGAGTAGCACTCTGGCTTACCTTTCAGTCTAGATATTTCAACCTCCTTCTCTCTCTGCAGGTTGTCAATTTCCAGCCTGTGCTCATCCAGCACACGTTCATGATCCTGCCCTTGATTCTGGTGCTTCTCTTGAAGTTCGTAGTATTGCATCTTTAAGTCTTCATGCTGGGCCTGATTGGTTGTATGCAAAAGAAGTCGATATCCATAAAATAATTATTCTGTTAATTATTCCATAACTGGAATTACAGAATTACTTTTTAAGAACTCCAATTATGAATGTCATCTGACCTTCAGTATTTGGTGCTCTGTCTGCAGAGCATTCAGTCGATAGGTTGAATCTTGCTGTTAGGTAGAACAAAAGTGCAAGTTATTATGCATCCACAATAGCTGAAACGGCTTTTTACGCTTTACGCATAATTTAAACGTTTACGCATAATTTAGCAATCAAAAACCATACGCTTTAAATTACCTTTTCTTTGTTGAGGGCCTTCTGTGAATCCCGCTTAAACACAAGGAAATCTATGATGTATTGACAATCAATAGAGGCTTTTAAAAACAAACATGAAGCACACGGCTTTCAGCACAACCTGGACTCATTATCATTCATTATCTATCATCATCATTATCAAATCACATACAGATTAAGTGGCTTGTGTGAATCAGGAAATCAATTATTGTGCAAATGAACAGGACATTACCCTCCTCAGCCTTCTTATGCTCGAGTCTTTCTTTCTGGAGGGATTTCTCTAGTTTAGAATGATGCTCGTATACCACTAAAAAGAAAGAGAAAAATATTTTTATTAACATCACAGGTACCTTTTTTTGCATTGTGATATTATTAATCAAGTTATTTTACTCCATAACCATCACTGTAACGCAAAAATCTCATTCTCAATTGTGAAACATGAAAAATAAAGAATAATTATGGATAAATGATTTGTTTTAGTTATACTGTACATCATACTAGTAGCATTATTGTACTGCCATTAATTAAATACAGTAAAACTGCATTTCTTACTGTAATAGATTAATAAAAAATAAAAAAGAGAAACTTTAGAGGGTTAAAGTGGACTTAACTGTCCTGCAAATAATTTCCAAATGCACAATATATTTCACTATTGTTTTGTTTGGGCTGAAATATGATCTGGACATCTTGACAGGTCTCATGATATTCAACAGATATATTATGAACACTGCAATCTGGCACAGAGAGGTGAAAATCCTCAGTGTAGTGTTATGTGTTTGTCAAAGGACTCCATTCAAAAGCCTTTCAAATGAAAGCTAGCAAGTATTCTCAAGCAATGTTGTTCTCAAGAAAAGCTTGATGCTGTTCTGATGCGTGCCATCTACTCCATTATTATGTGCCAACTATTATGATTGGATAAGAGAAATAAACAAACATGCCAAAACATTTTGAATAGAAATCTCCAGAGGCATGCAGCACATATTTCAAAACAATCATGTAAGCCCTAATCAAACATCTAATACACAGTGCATTCACTGTAGGATCTTTTCATTAATTTTCTAAAGTTACCGTGCAGCTGCGCAGAAAGTGACTCTTGATGCTGCTGGTACTTCAAAGCCGTCGCCTCAGTCTTTTTCAGCTCTTTATGCATCTCATATGAGACCATGAAGGCGCACAACGTCCCGCAAACGAAGATGAGAAGTAGGAAAGACTGAAATATTCTTCTCTGTCGTCTCGAACAAATTCCTCTACCCATCTTTTCCTCCTCTTCTTTAGTAGACGGTAAAGACTATGTGCCATCCGATTCTTCAGTAACGTAAATGTTTAGGAGAGCCACAATGATCCGTCTGTTTATTTTTTCCCCCTTGCGATGCTGTGCCTTTAATGGACGCACCAGTTACTTTCTCGTATACCCTACTTTTTAATTTAGCTCTAATTGTAGGCTACTTATACCTTACGGAAAAAAGTCCGACTAATGACAGTAAGTTTGCTTTTTCAAAACTTTCATACGTGTCATTCAGAAAGTACTGTCATTGCGGTCAGTTTGTTCTCGCCAACTCCTCCCTTTTGAGTACAGTGCCACCCAGAGGCTGCGCACACATTCAACATTTATACAGGTCCGAAGACTATATAGATTAAGAAACCAAACGAGACCAGTTTTGTCATTTAACTTTTAACATGTTTGCAAATCAAACCAGATGTTTGTCACAGTGGCCTTTTAGGCTACATCATCTGCATCTTTCTTTAGTATATGTCTGAGTTGTGCAGCTGTGAAATTGTTCATCTAAGGATAGTGCAGTCCTTTGTCTCAATGATCACGATGTTGTGGAACAAGTGGGACTGGGGTCAGGAGGAGAACACAGAAGAGTTCAGAAGCAGAGGAGCTTTTAAAAGGCTGATCCGCCGACCTGGCAGGCGCACTGTGAATAGACGAGAGCTATAGATGCCATTGCCATCTATTGTAAAAATTATTCCAAGTCTGATGCAACCTCTTTCCAGTTTCCTGCTTTTATTGGATCATCATGAGGATGTCGATTAGAAAGTCAGTTAGATGTGATGTTCCCACTGAGTAAGATCTACTTTTTACTCTTGAAGTTCATGAGCTCAAAACCTCAGACTACAAACACTAACAATCTAGATATAAATTAAATCAGTTACAACACACTGTAACTAAAATCATCTCCTTCAGAGATTTGTTCACCGACTTATTGTCACAGATCCTGAAACCTTCCTGTCTGTGGGATGAATTTGATCATTCATAATGTTATCTTTTATTATTTCAGGTGTTTCAGAGTACATCTGCAGCTAAATTGCAATCATCTTGCATCTGTATTTTTGTCACGTCTCTTCAGAGTTTTATTTTGGGAATGCAGTGTAAAACATGTCTCGCATTAAAATGATCTTGGCTCATCATGGATCTCTCCTGTGCTTTAATAGACTTTCTCATGACCACCCAGTTCACAGTGCTCACATAATATAATATAATATAATATAATATAATATAATATAATATAATATAATATAATTCAACTGTGAGTCAAGCCCTTGAGAAAAGATCTTTACACTCCCTTTTCACAAACTGTGAATGATAAAATAAATAAAAAACATGAATATAGGCCATTTATAACACTGTATTCTATTCTTACTTTGGCATTAAATTAAAGAAAACCAGTTCACCAGCTGTGAGGGTTTGTAAAAAAAAAAAAAAAAGAGAGAATGACTAAAAATGTGACATATTTCTCTCCTCTTGCAATCAATTTCTCCGATTTTTTTTTTTTTTTGTCCCTATTGGAAAGTCATATGCATTGTTTCTTTTGCTATTGGGGAAAATTTAAAAAATGATGTTTGTAAGTTTCCATCGTAGTTTACGCAACTGACAACTTCTGCTTCGGAGAACCCTGGAAATGTGAAATATAGGTCCATTCAGCAGTTTTTTTTTCCATTGATATCACAATTTTACTTGGAAAAAAGCACCCTACAATTATTCTGGGACAATGATTAAACAATAAAGTTGACATGTGATTTGGGGGGGAAAAACTTTTTTTGAGGAGTTGGTAAAGTTTCTAATGTGTCCTACAATTATTCTCCTGGGAAAGTGAGTAGAAAAAGCACCCCAATGAAACATTTAATAAGCACATCCATCCTAAATTGACTATTTGGGAATGAGCCTGTTTGCTGGGAATACTTAACATTTATAATATTTAAAGATACAACAGTTTTGCAGTCACATACTGCATCTTAACTGAAATTCATCACTTTGAAATGTGAACTGTAAATCTGTAAAGGATTGCCAAATAATTCTGAGCTCTTTACTGTAAATGTACATATTTTATGAACATTATTTTGAGATACAGTCTATTCAAAAATTATTTCCTTTAAAACCTGTTTTTTTACGATGCCATTGTCATGTTACAAAACCTTTAGAATCAATAGCAATGTTTATAAACATTATTAATGCAGAAACAGCAAGTGAAGACATTTGCAACAGTCATTTATATTGCTGTGTTAGGCCTTTATACTGGTGAAACATTGCCTCTGGTTGACTGGACAAAGTTAGGTCAGTCAACATAAAGGGCTCTGACCTTATACCTCTCACACCTTTGGAAAATACAGCTCATTGAAACAATCATTACACATACACATGTGGGTGTCATTTCAGAGTTACACGCCTTGTTTGGGTTCATTTTATAGCATGTGTGGTCAGACTGGACCAACAATAGTCATATTGGAGCAACACCTATGCAGCAATGAGACAGACACACATTGTAAATGACTAAACCACAAGAGCAGGAAAATCTGTTTTGAATTACTGTTGAACAGTGTGAACAGTCATGTCCAGCATGGTGCTGTAAATAAATCATGGACTTGCCCCACCTTATGTCATTAAAATTAAACTTTGGTACAACAGAAACAGTTCTGCTATTTGTAGTCCATTAAATTATGCTCACTGAGCCACACCGCTACAGTTTATTAGCTTTTTACTCATTTAACTGGTTTATTTACATGTTAATGCAATTTGCTCTTTCATGTGCTAAAATAAAATAAAAGAATACGCAATATTAAACAATTTTAATTGGATTTATGTACAGTGTTTTACGGTCAAAAAGGATCTTCTCAAGAGTTCCCCAAAATTAAAATTCTATCATTATGCTAAACCCTTCATGTTGTCAGAAACCTGCTTGATTTTCTTTCTTCTGTGAAGCACAAAAGAAGATATTTTGAAGATTGTTTCAGCTGTTTTTGATATACCATTAAAATCCGTTGAATTTTTAATTGGGCAAACAATCTTCTTTTGTGCTCCACAGCACAGAACAAGGAATGACATGAGGGTGAGTAAAGTTAATTTTGGGGTATAGATTATCCCTTTAAGCAGTGCTTTTTATTGGAATGAGAAAGAAGAAAATGGCAATCATTGATGATATTCAATAATATACAACATATTGTGATGAATATTGGTAGTCTCAGTTGATATATTGAGCACCACCATGTGGAATGATCTCTGAAACCCCCCATCCAATCACATTCCCGCGGCCATCACAGGATCCGTCGTGATTGGCGTACTCTTTAATCTTCTCTGCTTCCAGCACATGGTCCCACATGTTAACCCCTGTCATTTTACCAGTGAAGGCAACAGATGAGTCCAGATCTCTGTAGATACCCGACCGGCTGCGCTCTTGCCCGAGCAGAAAGAACCCATCACCGGACAATACGTTCCCCTTGGCTATAGGCTCTCTGGCAACATTCTCTCCATTTACCCACAAAGTTGCCAGCCCCTGCTCCGAGCTCCAAGCTGCACAGAAGTGTCCCCACTGCCCATCTGTTACTACGCTGTGAGCTTCCAATAGATGGGTCTCACCGCCCACCGTGAGGAGCACAGAGCTCCTTGCCAAGAGAAGCTGGAGCTCTTGAGGTTTTTTCTTGGTTCCGTAAGAGAAAAGCACTGTTTTATTTAGAGACTGGGTCACTTTGGCCCACAGACAGATGGTGAATGATTGTAGGGTCATGGACATGGAGGGTATTACTTCTGCAAAGATGTGCTTGGAGCGCATTGGGAATAATAAAGCCATTTCACAGCCTTTAAAAAAAAGAGAGAATGAGAGTTAGCATAAAATCGAAGATCAATTATTGCATTAAATCAGCATACAAATACTGACAGGTATTCACAGAAATTAAATATTACAAATGTTAAGCTATTAGGCAACACACTAGCGGACCGGTCAAACATTTGGAATCATTATAATTTTTTGTGGTTTTGGAGATAAACTAATGATTTCAGTTAATAATATTTATAATTTTATCAATGTTTACAATATTTCTGCTGCTTATTGTTTTTGTGATTATATTTTTTCAGGATTTCAGAAAGTTCAAAAGAACAGCATTTATTTGAAATGGAAGTCTTTACTGTCACTTTTGAACAATTTTATGCACCCTATGTTCATGCAACGCATTCTCACCCCAAGGCGTCACCTTTGACCATGCTTCAATATTTGACGTTTTAGGTGCCCTTTAGCGTCACTTACATGACGCGATCCTACGGCGTCATTTAACTGACGCTAAAGGAAAGCGTCAGTTAGAGGACGCGGTTAGGTTTAGGTGTGGGGTGGGGGTAGGGTACACGCGATCCTAGGGCGTCATCTAACTGACGCTAAAGGGCGCCTAAAGCGTCAGATATTGAAGCATGTCCAAATGCTTCCCAAGGCGTCAGTTAGGTGACGCCTTGGGAGTGAGAATGGGCTGGTTCATAACACGTATAACGGATTCCACAAATATATTAAGCTGCAAAAATTTTTTTTTAACATTGATAATAATAAGAAATGTTTCTTCAGCACCAAATCAACACATTAGAATGATTTCTGAAGAATCTTGTGACACTGAAGGCTAGAGTAATGGCTGCTGAATATTCTACTTTTTCATCACAATACAGTTTTTAAATAATATGACATTAGAAAACAGTTATTTTAAGTGATTTATAATATTTTACAATATTTGCAGGCCTATTTATCTGTCTGCCTTGTCTGTTCCCTATGCGAAATTGCCCTTTGCAGATTAGCAAAGTGTATTAAATGATGAATTTGTTTTTGTAGTTGAAACATCTACCTGAGGGCAGATAGCGATGTGCCGTTGCTCTTTGGAAAAGGGCCAGCTGGGCATGTACCCTTTGGAGATCTACAGCAGTGGCCATTAGTGCTCTCTCCAATTTCCCACTATCTCCAATACTTGCTTCTTGTTCCTTTGGATAAGCGGAGAATGACTTCATGGCCACTTGTCCCAGACCTGAGTTGCTCTCGAGTTTGGTGAGACGGGAGGCCTGGTTCCTGCTGAACTGAATGAGCTGCTGCAACGTCTCATTGTTTTGGGCTTGAAACGTATCTGCAACCTCTCTGAGCTGCTTCATGGCTTGGTTTAGATTGCGATTCATCTGTTCACTTATACATTTGCAGGTGTTTTCTGAAGCTTGGACGCACGCTTTGTTGTTGTTAAGCTTATGGAGCTTGTTCCATATGGTGTCCATCTCTGCCTTAACCATGTCTTCAGTCTGCTGCTTGAGCATGTCTTGCTTCATCTGTGAGTCCTCCAGCATGATGAAAAGTTTGTCCCAGC